AACTGATGGACGGCCACCGAGGAATTGCTGCCAGCTTCCTCACCTGCTTCTCTTGGGGGCCAGGCAGAGCCCGTCCGTCTGTGATTAAGCCGTTCTGGTGCTAGTAGAAGCACCTGGAGCCATTGGGTACTGTGCTGGGGTATTATAAAACCAAGCTCCAAATCTCAGACATATGGATACTGGTACTTCTTTCAAAATCGTTGTGAGAAGAAAACAAAACATGAGTTAACATTCTAGGACAATGGTTTATAAACGTTGATTAAGGTGTGAGGTGGGCCCTGTTCAGACAGATGAGTGGGGGGGTTGGGGCAGTGGCGGGGGCAGGTCGTTTGATGGTCGTTTGAGGACACTCCTCCTCTGTGAGCTGCGTCTCCAGCTGTGGGGTAGAACCCGCAGGATCCTTTGAGGAGGGCAGCTCAGGCCGGCCTCTCCTGGTGGGGGACTGTGTACTGGGGGGTCTGGGTTTGTGTCCTGGTGCCTTGATTGTGCAGGGGTAAGTCACCAGCCACTTTGAACGGATGTCTGAATTAGGTGACCTGCTTTGGCCATGAGAGAGACTCAGTCTTAGGGAGCTGGTGCTGCTGTCACCCAAATACCACAAAGTGGGTGACTGGAAAGAACAGACTTCTCTTCTCCCAGATCTGGGGCCCAAAGTCTCAGTCAGGGTCTGGGCTGGGCTGTCGGTTCTCTAGTTTCTGGTGAATGCTTGTGCAGCCCCAGCATTCTTTTTCTGCTTAAAGATAAAAGTGTGTGTGTATGTGTGTGAGAGAGAGAGAGTGAGAGTGTGTGTGTGTGTGTGTGTAAGGTGCTACTCAGAAATGAGCCTTGGTGGTGTAGTGGGTTACACACTGGGCTCTTAACCACAGGATCTGTTCGAAACCACCAGCCGCTCCTCAGGACAAAGAAGAGGCTTTCTACTCCCATAAAGAGTGACAGTCTTGGAAACCCACGGGGGCAGCTTTACCCCATCTGATGAGGTCGCCGTGAGTCGGCAGCGACTTCATGGCAGGGAGTGTGGCTCAGGAAGGAGTAGGGGAGGACCCACAAGGCCTCTATGAGCTCGCATCCACAGGTAAAGTTACAAGCAAAGCTTAGCCTGTTTGGGGACCACCGTTCAGTCTCTTAACAGCGTGACTACTGAGCGTCACTCTTGGAAGGGCCTTGGAGTGTGACGAAGCAAACAGCCCCGAAGAACTGAGCCCCAGACCTTCCGCTGCCCCGGCTTCTCCGTAAGCCAGAATAGACGCCCTGCCTGGAGTCTGATCCCCCCGGGAAGTCCCGGAGTGAGGCTGGCTGCCCTGTGACGGATCCTACTCCCAGAAGTCACGGCTGCCTTTCTTTCCCACCCTCGGCAGGAGCCATCGCCTGAGGAGTCCCTGTGCTTCCCGTGGCCCTGGTGGAATCACGGTTATGAGTTGGGTGGTGACCTGCGAGGTCCACACTTGGAAACCACCAGCGGCTCCTCTGGAGAAAGACAGGCTCTCCACTCCTGTAGAGTCGCAGCCTCAGAAGCTCACAGGGGCAGCGCTGCCCTGTCCTCGCGCATCAACTCAATGGCAGTGGGTTTGAGTGCTTCCTGTCGGCCCCCCCCCCTGCAACCACCCCCCTCGCCCCCCAACAGTCCCCTGTGTTTATTCGTTGGATTTGGAATGATAGACAAAGATGATTTACAACCCAGATCTTTTTTATTTTTTTCGGAGTTATTTTTGGCAGTTTTAAGTTCTGCAGCGATGCGTGCAGGCGTTATTCTTAGACTTGCCAGCAAGTCGTTCCTTCAGAGCCTGCCTCCCTCGCCGTCTGCATAGAGACACTTTCTCCATTTTTTGACTTTCTTTATATAGCTGCCGTCTCCCTGTCTGTGAGTTTTGAATGGAGAGGCCTCTCTCGGCTGGTGTGGATGCGGGAGCTTGTTTCCATAGGAAAATCACAAGGTGGAGGGCTCTCGCTGTGGAAGAACTTGACCAGTGCAGACAGGGGCAGAGGTGCCTCGTGGGAGCTGGTTTTCCGGCTTGGGAAACCAGAGGCCCTGTATGGCGGGGTGGGGCTGCACCCCAGGCAGGCCCTGGGGAACCTTCATTCTGTGTGATCTAGGTTAGACCAGAGATGGGTTCAGGTTCAGGTGGCTGGTTTGGGGGGTTGGCCGTCTTGTGGGTCAGTCAGCAGAGAGCCTCAGGGGCCCAGTTAATTGTGGCTGGAGCTTGGGAGCCCAGCTTGGGCCAGGGGGTTCACCACACAACCCCTTTTGTGTTTTAAAGGTGTGTCTCCATCTCATCGGCTTGTCAGCAGCTTGTTCTCAGGGAGGGTCCACTTCCGGTTCTCCTCGGTCCTCCAGGGACAGTCTGGGAGACTCCAGGACCCTGAGGGTGGTGTTCACCAGCCCATCCACAGAGGGCAACCCTGGGTGGGTTGGGGGCTGTCAGGGTAGAGGAAGGGCCAGTACTCCCCAGAACAGACTCTGAGGTGACCCTGGTTCCTGTGTGAAGCTTTTCCATCAGAAATCATCTATTTGTTCCTGCTGGCGCTAAAGGCGTCCCCCATCCCTGGGCAGCCTGGGGTGGGAATGCGAGCCCCCCAACAGCCTCTGGGCCAGATCGATTGCCTGCCTGGGCCCTGCCCACTCCTGCCCACCCAGCTCTCCTTCCCCACGGGATCTCCCCTTTGTGGCAATCTTGACGATTCCGTTTGCTTCTGACCTGTGCGGTATTGCAAACTCTCTTTGCAGTAACGACTGGACATCAGGAAATGGTAAAGCCAGCCTCATGCTAAAGACAGGGAGAGTGTCAGTTCTGTGGAGCACAAGCCCTCCAAGTGGGTGGTTTTCACAAACAGGTTTATTCTAGGCTCTCTCACTGTGGGCTCAGGGAGAAGGGCCTTGTCTCCTTTCAGCATCTGCAGGCCCAAGTCCCTTCCAATCGCCATGTGTCCTGATCTCCCCTTGGGCCTAGGACATAGGTTCCTAGATGGATTTAGCATACTGGCCCCTTTTCAAGGGGGGGTAGGGGGTGGGTGATTACTCAGCACCCCTCTGGCAATGAGCAACTTTGTATTATAGCCCATAATCCGACATAAAGTAAAGGTATCTGCCTTTGCGAAAACAACTCCCCCCACCCCCACCATCGTCTATCACCTGCCCCACAGTGGGGGGGGAGCGGGGCACTGTCACCCACTTTGGGAAACACTGGAGTTGCTTCTCAGCTGGTGAATCCTGGGTACAAAGGCCACCTGGCTCTCCTCCTGGCTCTTCTTCCTTGTGGTAATGAAACTCCTCCTACCTGCCTGCTTCTCTCTCCTCGGATGACCTATAAGGTCAGAGGAGCCCTGGTGGCGTAGTGGGCTGTGCATTGAGCTGTTAAACCACGAGGTCAGTGGTTTAAACCCACCTCTCTCTCCTTGGGAGAAAGATGAGGCTGCCTGCTCCTGTCAAGATTCAATGTCTCAGAAACCCAAAGGGGCACTTCCACCCTTGTCTAGGGTCACTGTGAGTCAGAATGGACTTGATTGTGTGTGTGTGTGTGTGTGTGTGTGTGTGTAGTTCTTTTGTAAGATAGAGGGCCACACCACAGGAAACGCCTCTAATAACGCCTCTAGGCACTGGGACATGATAGGGAGCTGGCCTCACCAACCCTAACCCCTGACAGCTGACTGGCTGACCACATCACAGGAATGACTGCATCGTAGCCCATCCCACTAAAGTGGATCCTGATTCCTTGAGACCCCATGGGACAGAGTAGAATTGCCCCTTTGGCTGTAAGTCTTTGTGAAGAAGAAACCCCTTTCTCCCTTGGCGTGGCTGGTGGATTCGAACTGACAGCATTGGTAGCAGCTCAGCGCACAACCCGCTACACCCCCAGGGCACCTTCCATCCCTGTGTTAACTCCCAGAGTCCACCTGTACATAACTGCCAGACCCTGGTGGTCATGGCCCAGCCAGCCTGACCCCACTGGCCCATGACAGAGGTAGATGTGGAGGCATGTGACCAAGCCCTGAAGGCGTGTCAGATGGGTGGAGCTGCCGAGCTGAGAAAGGCGGTGGGGAGGGGCACCTGAGCCGAGTGAAAGAGGAGCAGTTTGCAGACATGCCCAGTGGGGGAGGAACGCTGACCCGCCAAGGCCCCAAGCTGTGTGTAGAGAAGTGGGTGCCAGTCATTGGGGACATTGGGGTGAAGCCCTTTGAGGAGATGATGAGGGGAAAGTGGTGATTATGTTCAGCAGGTGTTTCCTGGGCACACCTGCTGTGCGTCCAGCAATGTCCCAGGTGCTGGGCTCCTCAGCAGACAGGACTGCTCCTGCCCTCGGGCAGTGTGCATTCTAGGATGGGGCTGGCGGGCGGTGGCAAACCCTAGCTGACCCAGAGTGAAAGGATGCCTACTGGTAATCACCTGGAGACACATGGTAGCAAGTACTCTGGAGCAAACCCAACACACGGGGAAAGGCTGAGAGTCCAGGCAGAGATCGGAAGGATGCACTGGAGGAAGCCACACAGCCAGGCAGAGGTCCCGAGCTCAAAACCACACTCCCTGAGTCCCTGGAGTCAGTTCTGACCCCCAGCAACCCTCAATGGCAGGGTAGAACTGCCCCGTGGGCCTTCTGAGATGGCATCTCTCTACGGGGGCAGGAAGCCTCATCTTTGTTCCGAGGAGCAGCTGGTGGTTTCAAACTGCTGACCTTGGTGGTTAGCAGCCCGATGCATGACATAACCCACGACGCCACCAGGGTTCCATTGCAGACAGAGGTAGTCAGTCCAAGGCCCCAGTACAGGAGGAGGCCGGTGTGGCTGGAGGGATGGAGGGTGAGGGGGCACAGTTGGGTCTGATCAGAGAGGCTGCAGAAGGCCCGGTGGGCAGCACAGCCTCATGTGGGCAAACAGGAGGCTACTTGCTGTCACTCTTGAGTGTGACCTGCTGTGATAGTGGGCCTGGGGGCCTGTTCTGTCCATCCTGGGGAGAGGGGACTGCAGCGATCTGGAGAAGTCTTGCCGGGCCAGCCACCTGCCTCGGAGGAGCTCACACTGTGTTTTCTCCTAGGCTAGCTCATCCATCCTCAGAGCGTGCTGCAGGGAGCCCCCCTGCTCTGGGACCATGACGGTGAGGGGGGCCGCGCTGGCCCCGGACCCAGCCTCGCCCACGACCGCAGCAGCCTCGCCCAGCGTCTCTGCCGTCCCCGAGGGCAGCCCCACGGCCATGGAGCAGCCGGTCTTCCTCATGAGCACGGCTGCTCAGGCCATCTCCGGCTTCTTCGTGTGGACCGCCTTGCTCATCACCTGCCACCAGGTAGCCGGGAGGCAGACACCCGCCCCCGCCTGCAGAGGTACCCTGAGGGAAGCCCACCCAGCCTCAGTTAGGCTGCAATCAGGCCCCAGCCCCACAGCCTCTCAAAAGGCTCAGTGCTGGGTGGCCCGCCTTAGGGTGCCCAACTCCTGCAGCTCCTCACCCTCCCTGTATCCTCTTTCTGACCTGGGGTGGGTGGGCCTGAGGGGGTGCCTTGGGCATATAACCTCCATCCAGGGGCTCCCCTTCCATTGGGAATGGGGGTGTGGGTGGGGAGGAGAGAAGGAATGTAGTGGGATAGACTTGGGTCCTCTTCCCATGGCCCTGTCCTCATTGGGTGGGAGTGGGGTGGGGTTGGGAGCCTTTGCTGCTGGAGGGAAGGGAGAGGGTTAAAGTGTGTGTGTGTGTGTGTGTGTGTGTGTGTGTGTGTGTGTGTGTGTGTGTGTCATGGTGGGTAGGAGCATGGCCAGGGTCCCTTATTAACTCCCTGCTAGCTGCCTTGCATTTCTGTGGGTCAGGAGGAAGGGCCTGGGTGGGAGGTATGGAGGGCAGTCATGCTGAGTGCCCGCGCCCCCTGCCCCGCAGATCTACATGCACCTGCGCTGCTACAGCTGCCCCAACGAGCAGCGCTACATCGTGCGCATCCTCTTCATCGTGCCCATCTATGCCTTCGACTCCTGGCTTAGCCTCCTCTTCTTCACCAACGACCAGTACTATGTCTACTTCGGCACCGTGCGCGACTGCTATGAGGGTGAGAGCCCCCCTGCCCGCCTTCCTCTGGAGCAGTGGTCCTCCACCTTCTGTGCCCCCCACCCCCACCCCCGCCGGCCTCGCCCGGGCACCCCTGGCTGCTCCTGGACAGGAGAAGTGGGTAGACCAGCACCACCACCCCCACCACCCCCAGAAGGGCTCTTGTTGTCCTCCTGGTCGCTGCTAGGGGCACCACCGGCAGTCAAGAATGCAACCTGTGCGTGACAAAGACAATTCGATGCTGCTGTCTAAGTTGGATGGGATTGATTTGCTTCAGAGGGCACCCCTGGGGCGGCCGCCCTGGTGGAGGTGGTGGTGGTTCTGCTGCACGATTGCACTGACTAAAGCGTGGTTCAAGGCACTCCTGAAACTTGACCAGGTGGCCCTGGTACTGGACACACAAGCGCGCGCACGCACACACATACACACACACCACGCTGTGGTGACCCCAACCATAACATTTTCGTTGTTACTTCAGCACTGTCAATTGGCTACTATTATGAATCAGGCAACCCCTGTGAAAGATCGTTCAACCCCCAATGGGGTCAGGACCCACAGGTTGAGAACTGCTGCCCTGGAGGCTTCTGGGCCTCACGGGGGTGGGGATGGGCTGCTCTGACTGACAACCCCCCACTGCACAGTCCGCTTCAAGATCTCCAGCCAGGCCGCGGTGGACAGGCCACAGCACAGGGGTAGCTGGCATTGCCCCTTAGAGGTTCGGACCCTCAGACACCTGCACAGATACCTGGGGCTGCTAGCCCCCACCTGTCTGACCTCACCGTTGTGGCATCTCTGACCGGGGAGGGTCCCTTTGGGTTTCACCCCCTACCTGAGGCAGGTAGGGAGTCTCTGCCCGGGGAGGGTCCCTTTGGGTTTCACCCCCACCTGAGGCAGGTAGAGTGGACTGGCCTCCACCTCCAGGTGTCTTTGCTCTGAGGACTCCGGCCTTCCACTGCCGTAGGAGGGTGCTGGCCTTCTCTCAGGACCCCCCTTCTTACGTGAGCCAAGTTCTCGATGCTTGTGCTAGACCTGGGGGGTGGCAAAGAGGAGCCAGCCCTAGCCCTCGCTGCCCTCTAGGAGCCTGTGGCCACTGAAACAGCCTCACCGCCAGGGGCACACATTGCCCAGCCAATGCCCAGGCAGATAACCAGGCCTGGGAGAGCCGTGGGAGGGGGAGGGGCAAGGAACATTGACCCGGCGACTTAAAGGAGTCATCCTTGGTGAGGTGGACATGAGGGACAAGCATTTGTTCTGGGCAGAAAGGAGAGTTAACATGAGGGGAGCGAGGGACAGTGGCGGCCGGTCGGGAGGGGTCAGTGCCAGAGAGATCAAACCTCGGCAGGACCAGCCTCTGACTGACAATATCACGGGTTTGTAGGTGCAATTGTACACGATAATATGTAAAGATCATAGTAACGTCATAGAAGATAGGGAAGGTGGGAGAGAAGATAAAATAAAGGAGTCAGACACGTTTCATGGTAGCACGCTCACCTCGGGCCCTCCTGGTGGTCCACATGGAGGTGGGAGAAGAGAGGAGGAGAGGGACTATATGTCTAACCAAGGCTTATATATACTTAGGGGCGTGTGAGCCACGTACGTCACAGGAAAGGGTTGTACCATAGGCAATACAGCACTGGGAGGGGGACGATCTAGGGGTGTACATGCAATAGGAAGAGGAGGGATTCGGGGTACGCATGTGACAAGATGGGCGATCCTGGATTCGAGATGGCAGCCCAACCTTAGTTCTTCTTGAGCTGACTGATTCTGAGCTTTCCTTCGGGAAAGCAATTCCCCGTCCTCCTGAGCAGGGCGTGAGCCCCACCTGCGGCGGGACAAACCGGAGTCTGGTTGCTCTGGCCGGCTGATGCCTTCAGGGACATAACGTCCGGGCAGCTTGCTTCCAAGTGTGCTCTAATCACGTACCGCGTGTTGCAAGCGGTGTCTAAGGTCTGACGTATATTTGGGGGACACAACAGGCTGGCGGTCCATACTGAGAGTTTCCGAGGGGAGTGGTTGATATTTTTAAACTGTGGACACACAACAATGTGATGTGATGGGAAATTGCGCCCTCCACCAGGTGGAGGTGGGCAACAAGAGAGAGGCCTGAGACCCCAAGACAGGCCACGGGCCAGTGGGCGGGAGAGAAGCACCCTTGACTGTGTCTCCAGAACCCTTCTTCATTCAGCGCATGACCCCCCGCCCGCTGCGCCACTCAGGGGTCTGTGATCTCTCCCACTCTGCTG